GTTTTGAACCTTTATTTTTCCTACCTTTTCTTTCACTCCTCAAGATCTTATCTTTCAGATGAGAAGGAGGTGAAAGAGATTTGAAGTTGAGTTATGTAAATTATCCTCTGATGCATTTTGTCAGGCATCCAATTCCAATTCAACATCTGATTTTCTGAGACATCTAATCTACTATTTTGGTCGCAGAACTGCATATAGTAATATACTTACAGATTATATACATAGGTGTAGCGTTAATGAATTAGTAAGATAATATGACACTAATCGCTCGTCCGGACACCCCATCCAAGCAGTCATAGTCAATAATCTAAGATCTTGATATCAGAAAATGCATATACTAAAGTACGATAAAATCCCAACATAAAAAGTAAAAATGAAAAAGTAAGAGTTGTTAGAAAGCTATGTCAATCAAGATTTGAAAAACTGATGAGGTTTCAAAACCCTAAAATTTCCAAAAGTTCTCCACTAAATCAGATGACAAAGTCAATTAACGACATAAGCAGCTGGCCAATGTTTGCAAGAAATAACATCATCCATTAGATTTAGAAATCAAAAGGTATCCGATTAAAAAAATGAAATATGTTGAAAAAAGAGAGAGCTTCATTCAAAAGAAAAAGAGGCTTGGTCAACATTTCTCCTGGTGACCCCAATGAAAATGTTTAACCATGTCTGCCATGACAGTTTCATGAACTTTGAAAATGCCCGTAGTACTATTAAGTACTATTAACACCAAAAGTGTTGCCCTATTATAAGAGCCTTTAGATTTTCAGTACTTTCGTCAATTGTATACGCATGTATATAATGTTTCTAATTAATGATTCATGTTCATGAAACTCACAAACCAAACCGCCAAAATCAACCATACACGTACATGGGTGGTTGGCCGTAGCATTTTAATAATCTGCAAGGTATGGTATCCTATGTCTCTGATGCAGAAAGTCAGAAACAAAGTGACTAGTTTAAGGACTTTTGAAGCATAAATACAATACTATATTGCAGGCATTTGCACTTACATCAAGTAATAAACACCGAAAATCTCACTTTGACAGATTTTATTTCCACAGTTTGTTCACTGACCATCACATGCATTCTTCTGTTTCAAACTTGAGGAAGCAAAACCATGTGTCATTGGTTACTAATCAAGCAAAGGAAATGTAAAAAAATCCACAGTAAGATCTTGTAAAACGGAGAGGATCACATGATGTCTGTAGTGGGTAAGTCCCTTTTGTCCAATTTGCAAGTCTCAAAAGCCTAAATAAATCACGTGAAATGCGGCTTCAGTTTCATAGTTGTTGGCTCTAGGGTCAGTATTTTAAGAAATTTTTTATTATGACGGGAATATGAATGGTACACTACGTATTTTTATGCAAATGGTGTGAAATTTTATTTTTTAAGTTATTAACTTTTTTACACACATATCCTATCATTTGTATAATAACACGTGATGTACTACTTCGTATACCAATCACACTAAAAAAATCTCTCCAGCATTTCATGAAAACCTGCGGCTAGAATTCTAAGTTCCAATAATGTCTTAGAAAACCCAGAATCCGAACCACGAAGAAAGACTTTTATGTCAAGTGCACATTGCTATCGTATCATGTCAATGATACGAAAATATGTGTAAATTTTTATTTATATAATTTTATATTATTAATGCAAAATGTAACGATAAAAGTATATTTATGTCATATAAATTACTATGCCAAATACTAATATTTCCTACAAGTTCCATTCCATGGAGATACAACAAACACCCATTTGACATTGGTACATGGAACCAGAATTTAACCAATCACCAAGTGATTATATATTAATAGTCCTCAGAGATTATATAGTCCTGGTACTTGCAACTTAGGAAAATATATTTAAAGCATTAGTAATATATGTGTGTCACTGAACAGAGGTAGTACTGTTGCTAGTCTCACTGAAAATTGCACAAAGTAGATTGTTTAGTTAGGACTCGTTGGGTGCTTAAAATTAAATTAAATAATTTACATTATTTTAGGCATGTTGAAGTAAAAGGGAAGAAATCTTAAAGTCTGATCTCTTATAATCCCTAAAAATGAAAAATTACCTCTACCTTCCCATATGCCTCGATCCCATATTCTTTGAACTGAGTTATTCGATATAATATTAGGTATCGAATAAGCACTTGGCTTTGTGATATTAATATCCTTTAACTTTTTTGAATAAATTCAATGGCAGAAAAATGGAGAAGAGCGAGAGGAAGAAGATGGAGTCGTTGCTCCAACTCCTTGATTCACATAATGAATCACATCACACAAGAGGAGTGCGGGTGCATGGCATGGTAGCCGTTGCAGTCCTACTCACTCAGCTTAAATAGCACGCGTGACGCGTGCAATGTACATGACTCACTTAAATTTCTATTTGATATGCCAGATGGCATTCATCTAGCATGTTAGCTAATTCTAATCACAGCCGTTCAGTTACAACTTAAGAACAGAAATGGAAAACTTGCAGAAGGATCAAACCCTTCTTCTTCAATCCTCAGTAGCAAAGCTTACAGTCCAACATTTTATCCATATATAATCCATTCATCTTTACATGGTTAATTATCTTGGAGGAAAACTAACTTTAATCTGATTGCTATCTTGAGTGGTTCTACAAGAATAAATTAATACATTGTTTAGTCCTCTTATTACATACATTTTCTGTCACATTCCAATCCGCATGGTAAGATATTGTCTACTTTGGGTCACACTTTCATGAATTTGTTCCTGGGCTTCCACCCAAAACGCATCTCACTATAGGGAGGTTGACATGTACATATAAGGCACATCAGCTCCTCTCTCCTAGACGATGTGAGATCTTACATTTTCCTCAATTTCTACTACCTTAAAACTTAACAGATTATTTCTTAAAAGTGGCACTGCGCAATAAGCCTAAAAGTATTGTGAACTCAAGCCTACTTAGGCATTCAGGTATTTAATTTTTCAGTGGTGGATGGTAGGAATGTTCTCAATTTATATGGACAAGAAAAACCTGGAAAATGGTTTTCTAATTTTCACTTGTAAATTGTAATATTGCTTCCTCTCAAACAAAACTACACACAAGGAAAAAAAATGAGAACCTGAATAATGAACATAAGCTGTTCAAACTCAAAGTTGGAGGAATCAATCACTCATATCACATTTATATATTAGCGAGCAAAGAAGAAAATTGAACTCGAGACTTCAGGTGCGTGTTTGATACAAGAAATTGGAGGCTTAAAAAGACACCTCCTCACCATCACTGTAATTTGGGAATGTGACACATTTGAAAACCTTGCACTTTGAACACAACACCTGACCAATCTGCACCCCCAATGAAAATATGGGTCATTAGAAATTAAAAAAAAAAAAAAAAAAACTGACAACTCTAAGTTTTATACAAAAACACTTACAGAATTGAATTAGAGAAAAACACCTTCATGTATCCACATATCATCTTAATGATTCTTAGTTGCAAAACCCTTTCTTCTTTTTCAAGTTAGTTGGATTTTTTTTCTAGACTATGGCGTTTGAAGTGTTCTTCTAAAATGTACTTCTAAAGTGTACTCTTTTTTTTTAGGGGTAAGTGAAAAGCCCTAAAAATTAAGCACCAAAAAGCAAATATTTTACTTAATCTCCATAAAAATCAAACATCTAACAACAAATTATTGGGTTTTGTGAGGAGTTGAAAACTCACAGCTCTGCAAGATGGGCATCGCCGGTAGATTCGCCTGGTCTCGGATTTCACGTTCGTTTTCTGCCCTTTGCAAAAGTCGCAGAGCAGCCACCCTCTCCCGTTGCAATCCTCGCACAGAATTGCCTACGTCAGCCTTGGAAAAAACTGGAACCGAATCAGTCGGAGTGTTCGAAAAGTCTGCAGTTGCAGGAAAACGACTTGCAGTTTAAGACTTTCAGTGGCTTACCTCTTCTTGTTGTTGCTGTTGTTGGATGATGGGTGAGCAATTAGCGGGCTTGAAGAAACGACTTGTCGTTGGCGGAGTGGAGGGAGAAGTACGTAGAGAAGTGAGGTTCCAGGGGGCGAAGGACGTCATCGTCGCCGCCATTGGGATTGGATTGGTGGTGAGATTTTGTACAGACAGGGGAAAGTTAAGTGGCGCGCTGCTATTCTTCTCGTTATCCGAATAGCAGAGGTGTAGTCTTACGTGTCTACCAAAATTACAAGATTGCCACTCCCCCAATGCAAACAAAATTTAAATTGTTTTGTAACATAATTGTAAACTGCTCTAATATACTAAAAAACATTTGGAACATAACAGGAGACGGATACACTACCTTAGATACCACAATGCACTCACAACGGGTGGAACGATCGCGTGTCTAAGTGATTTCATTTCTTATAAGTGTCTTAGTGTATACGAAAGTCGTAAACAAGAATTTTTTCTATAAAAAGATAGATCGAAAGAAATATTTCTCCTTCATTATTTGAATATTAATAAGCTTCATATTTATCTTATGAAAATAAATTTGAATATTGTTTTTGGTTTGAGAGTAGGGAGACCTTTGAGAGAAGGGATCCCATTTTTTACTATAAAAATGGGGACTAGTTGTGGATCTCAAAATTCATCTTGCAAAATATTAGTCAAATCGGAAATGTTTGAGACATCTAATTGAGTTTTAAGAAATTGACGAGCGCTTTGGTCTAAGAAAAATATTAAAATTTCATCGTGATAATTAAATAGACAAATAGTTTCGGATTGAATTGAAATTTTCAACGATGATCTATGAATCGAGACTTACCAAAATAGACCATTAAGATCGTTGAAGTTCGATATGAAGTAAGTTCCATAACTAATCCTCATTTTTTAAATAAAATGAAGGCCCTTCTCTTAAAGGATCTGTTGAAAGTAGTAAGTCAAATTGTTTAACAATTCCAATTTGGGCCTTGCCAATACATTGGGCTAGCATTGGAGGCATCGATCTGGGCCTTCTCCGTTTGTTATGGGCGGGAAGTGTTCTTATTAGTGAAGAACGATATTGGAAGAAGGTTGAAGAAGCACCCAGAAGAAACCACCCACCATAACCAAGACCAAATAAATAAACCCAAAACGAAGAAGCAGACGGTGCGAAACACGGGAAGCTCAAGGCGAGAGAGAGATTCAAATTAGGGTTTTTGAATTTGCAGAGATGAAGCGCAAAGACTTTGTAGAATTAGACGACGACGACGACTTCTCTCCTTTCTCAAAATCCAGGAGATTGGTACGCTCTCTCCGCTCCCAATTTCTCTTTGTTTTCGTTTCAGTTCCCAATCTCCCAGCACTTTAGGGTTTCTTTCCTCGCCTTTTGCAATTCTCAACAATTCGTTACTAAAATTTGACGTTATGGTTGCGGACTCTGTGTTACCCACTTTCTGTTTGAGAAATTGCTAAATTTTTGTAATGTAGTTTTTCGGTTTTTGTTGTGGAAATTTTGAAGGATGGTGGGTTATTTGCGACGATAAATGAAGACCAAAGTAGTGCAGCTCAGGTGTTTGAAGAAATGCCGACACCAGAAACCAGTGTTGTGATGCAAACAGATGATTTGCCAACGGAACCTTTGCCTTCTGGGGATGAGAAAGCTCTTGTGCTCTATAACCCCACGAATACGCGGTTTTTCAAAGCACCCGATTCGCGGGATTTCTCTGTCATTGTGAATTCGGACTTGATTCCGGGTTTAAGAGGTAAGGCTCCTGGATCTATGTATTGTTATTACTGTTTAACAACTTTGATTTGGATATGTAGCAAATCATTGTGATCATATAATCTAATTTCAAGTTATTATTTCAACTTTGAATGGTTTTTGGGCTGCCCAGAAGCATTCGTCGTAGGACGAATGAATTGAAAAGTGATTAAATGTGCTTGTGATCTTTTGATGGAGATGACTCGGTGGCAGCTATGTTTTGTTTAATTCTGTTTTGATGTAATCGTAGATCGAAGTTCTCATATTTCGATTCAGATAAATTTGAAAATGGTGGCTTGTTTTCGGTTTAGAATGAATGAATACTTTTAGTATCTGTCTGACCTTTACATGAAACTGGTCTGTTAGTCGTGCCTTTTACTAACCGAATTGTTTCTGGCAGATCATATTTATTCGTGGGGATATTCAAAGTCACCGAAGCCGGTAGAGGATCGTGGGTCCGAAGAGGAAAACAAAGATGTTTCAAATGGGTGTATGGCTGTTGTTCCCTGGGTTGCACCCAACTTCCCACCAGCTTCACGAGATGTGACACAGATTGCAAGTCAGTCGGAGCCCATGGAAGTTGAAATGATGGACACAGATGATAACAGATTCAATGGGGCGGAAGCGTCTGGGTTCAGTGGAACGATGATGGAAGGATCTAGTGGGGTACAAAACTGGCCTCAGCAACAGCAGCTACATTGGATGGAGCCACAACTCCTCCTGAACAATTATACTCCCGTCACTTGGTAACTAACAAGTTGTACATCGTAAGTCCCAGTTCTTACCAGACACCTAATCCCAGTCTAGTATTTTGTTCAAACTGAATGACATCTGCCACTTCTGGGGAAATTTTATAAATTTACCATGGAAACTCCGAGTTCCATCCTTGCTTAGTTGCGGGTGATCCGCAGTTTAGAAATTTGTTTTGTTCCGTAACTTTCGAATTAATTGAATTTCACATAAATCATATAGTGTAGCTCAATTTTGTCAATTTCTACACAACTCTCCTTGTTTATGCCCTCAATTCTCCTAATAAATCCAAAGAATGAGCGCTGAAGGAAAAAACGAGAGTGTGAAAATCGCTTCCCATGGAAAAACCCGAGATGTTGGAGAACTTAGAAAACAAGTTTAAGGAATGTACTGATGCCTACTAGACCAGCTTCAAAGATGGAATCTCAGCAAATCTGAAGAGCAAAAGCAAATCAATATACGAGCAGTTAAACGCCTCCCAAGCTATCGTCATCGCAAGGGGGCTGCCTGAATTACCACTCGAATCCAATACCAAAATCTTTAAATTCAAAAATAAATGATACAAATTAAATTCAAGATAATATATGTATCAACCTCATCAGAAAAAAATCGCCAGAATGCTCGCCAGAATGCAAGAAAGACGTGGTGAAATTGGGTAAAAAGGTTGAGAGGTTGATGTAGGGAAGCTGCATTCATCTCTATGGCACTGTTGTAAATAAGCCAAAGAGCCAAACTCCAGCCCCATAAAAATCAAAATTCGATTCGCCTTAATTCAAATTTCACAATATCCAATCTGGAAAACGTAAACCCAGAAACCCTAACCCTAAAGCATAAAAAAATAAAAAAACGGAAAGAAAGAATCGAATTGCAATCGGCAATTCGGCGCAAGTCGAAAACCATAAACCCTAGGTTGTGTAGGCTGAGGGAATTGTAGGGTTAAACGAGTGACCGATATATATACACACAGGAGGAGGAGACCCGCGGGGATTTGAAATTACAAATTTGTACATTGGCCCAAACCAATTTCTCCTCCATTTTTCCTGGGCTGGACTCGAATTTTACGAAAGACAAATGAGCTTGACCCACAACCGTTTTGATGAAGTAAAAAACCCACAACATGGAACAAAGGGCAAACATGTACTTGAAGACTGATTTTATTTCCTTTTGTTGAGGTTTTTACGCAAATGGTCCATGATATTAATCAAATTCTTTATTTTGGTCTCTTATTTTTAAAATCGGTCAATGTCATCTCTGAAATTTAACCTAGCATCAATATAGTCCATGCCATCTAATTCCTTTTTGGCACGTTTGGTGGACTAGACAAGATATGATTTGGTATTTCGGATTGGTTAGGCTATTGGATAGGTTGTGCTTTTTATCTATTGCTTGCTTTAGAATAGCATAAGCTTAAACATCGCAACCACAACTATGACCGACGATCTTTAACTGTGACCCACCCGGTCACCAACCCGCATTGCGGCCGACCCACGATGATCAACCCCGACGTTCACAACTCATGACTTCCACCTGCATTTAGATCGAACCTCACAAATCGCAACCCCCACACCATCATCCAAAATGCTACTCGTGAGCCCGTGATTTCCACCAGCAATCAGAACTGAGACTATTAGAAAAAGGCGTGCAATTTCCACCTGCAACCAAACTGAAGATGCTCTGCGTGAAGCTACTACTTCAACCCCTTGCAACAAACGATATTATTTAAGTGGCCACAATGCAAATTGTTAAAATAACAACACACGAACACAATAAACAACTGTTATAATATGTATCCATGTCATATAAATTATTTCTCTCGTTTAATATACACACCACTCCGATCATGGATGGTTGCTTGAGATTCCCTCCCAACAAATTGGGCCTCAATTTGGAAAAATAATTCTGAAAAAGTAAATTCGAACAAACCAGTGTGTCCAGATTCTTCGGAATATGGAACTGTTTCGGATTATCTTACATTGGGAATGGCGAAGATCAGAGTCTGTTCAACTGACGTGGCATTGACGTGTCTTACCCAACCTAGCCGCAAAGCTGACGTGCGGAAGAGGATAAACATTAAAACGGCAACATCCCGCTCTCAATCCATTCCTAATCCTGAAACGTCACCGTCTCGATCGTCTTATCCTATTCCTAATTACGTCATTACCCAAACAACTTCCAAATACTCGGCGCTGCAATCAATCACACAGTTCTTCCTCCTCCTCTATAATTGGGATTCTCTTCTCCTTCGCCAGACACCAACTGCTATTTTTTAGAGAGAGAAGGAGAAGAGGAGAGAGAGAATGAGGATTGACGAAGAGGGCGAAGGAGTGTCGGCGTCCAGGAACCACCTGGTTTTTGCCTACTACGTCACCGGTCACGGCTTCGGCCACGCCACCCGAGTCGTCGAGGTCAACTTTTCTCACGCCGATCAATTTTTTTTTTTGGTTCAAGTTTGAATGTCGATTATCCGTTGGCTGCTGATCAGCGCCGCATGCTGTGAGTGTAGGTTGCGCGGCACCTGATTCTCGCCGGCCACGATGTCCACGTCGTCACCGGAGCTCCTGACTTCGTCTTCACTTCCGAGATACAATCGCCTCGCCTCTTCATCCGCAAGGTAAGACTTTTACTGTTTTACAGTCTCGCAATTTGCATGTCTGCCGATGATAATTCTTCATCAAAATTATAAGAGAAAATTATAACAATGATCTTTTGATTAAAAATTCGTGATTATTGATCATTTAACTTGTCGAAACCTAAAACTTACGTCAAAATTAGAATTTTCCTTAAATGAGAAAAATTGTAGTAGCAGTGCCTTAATTTTAGTTCAATTGGAGAAATAGTTCTTAATTTTAACCTAATTGAAGTAATGGTTCTCGACTTTAATCAAATTATAGTAATGGTCCTTCCATCATAATAACTCAGATGGAATTCTGACAGAGTTGACGAAATGACCATATTGCACATGTTGATGAGTTAATGGATAAATAATCATGACTTTTTAGTTCAGAGATCATTACTTCAATTGAGTTAAAGTTGATGACCCTTTTTACAATTTTTTCAAATCTTAAATTTGTAGAATTATGTCTGTTTTTTATTTTTTTAGCTTGAAATTATTACTGTAGCAGTAATTTTAGTAATGTTTATCATTAATGGTAAACAAAATTATGATAATTTCTATGATTTTTCATAATTTTAGCTTGAAATTAGTAAAGTTGAAATTTTGGTAATTTATGGAATGATGTGGATATTAGGTTCTTCTGGACTGTGGAGCTGTGCAAGCAGATGCTTTAACAGTCGATCGTCTTGCTTCCTTAGCTAAGGTAACGATTAATTTTTATTTTTTGTTTTTGTTGATTATATATTTTTTTTATTTCGGCAATGAAGTTGTGTTGCTTTTCATTTTTGGTTTTCGGATTGTTACTAAATATTGGACTATTTTTTAACTTCTTGGTGTTTACTTTCCATTTTCTTCGCTGTGTTAGTATTCTGAGACAGCTGTGGCGCCTCGGGCTTCAATCTTGAAAACGGAAGTGGAGTGGCTAACCTCCATCAAGGCTGACCTAGTGGTACTTAAATTGCTGCTTCTGTTGTTTTATTGCGATTCAGTTGAGATTGAATCGAAGGGAACTTCTGTGTTTATACTTTGTGTGAAGATCTTGGCTCTGATAGTTTGTTCTGCCTGTACAAGAACAGGTCTCAGATGTTGTTCCTGTTGCATGCCGTGCAGCCGCTGATGCTGGAATTCGCTCTGTTTGTGTCACTAACTTTAGGTATATTGTTATCGTTAGCATTCTTTTTTACTCAACCTCTCATAATTTTTAAATGTAAATACATATCTTGAAGTAATATGTCAAGTTATGAGTTTTGATGATTTTGAGTTGTCCAACTATTTCAACTCTTTGTAACTCTATGCTCATCCTTTCTCTATACAGTTGGGACTTCATCTATGCAGAATATGTCATGGCTGCTGGAAGTAATCATCGTTCAATCGTTTGGCAGGTGACCTTCCTGTGCTTCAGACGGAATTATTTACCTTAAAAGATGTAGTAATTTGCTCATTGCATCTCTTCCGCTCTCTCCATTTGATATGGTCCAGTCTGTGTCTCTATAATGTAGTATGTGAAACATACTGATAACAAGTTCTTATGGGTTCTTGATGTTTGCTGTGGTAAAATTTTCTCTGTGTTGAATATAGATAGCAGAAGATTATTCTCACTGCGAGTTCCTCATCCGCCTCCCAGGATACTGCCCAAGTATGTTGCTTTCTATCCCTGGACAGTGACTTCCTTGTCTTTAAATATTATTTTTCTCTCTTTGGTTCAGGGGATTGTTTACTAATTTGTCTGATATCATTTTTTATGACTTTGCAGTGCCTGCTTTCCGTGATGCAGTTGATGTACCTCTAGTTGTGAGGAGGTTTCGCAGATCCCGCAAAGAGGTTTTGGTTTAAAGATCCTTAGCAAATCACTTTCATCGCTTGATTTGATTGATTGGATCAGTTGTTCATTATTTTCCTGGTTATAGGTGAGGGAGGGGCTTGGAATTGGAGACGATGTAAAACTAGTCATCCTCAACTTTGGTGGACAGGTAACATTGATATTTTAGTCTTTGATTCTAAAGAAACACCGCTTCAAATGTTTATTAAAATACCACTATTGATAATTGTACCTATATTTTTTTTCTCTATCTACAGCCAGCAGGCTGGAAGTTGAAGGAAGAGTTTTTGCCTCCTGGATGGCTGTGCCTGGTATTTTCATTGCATTGTTCCACGTTTTTGCTTGTCTGAAAGTGCTTAATGACGATCTTCATAGTGAAAAAGGTATTTTTGTTTTTTGGTTCAGGTTTGTGGTGGTTCTGACACCCAGGAACTTCCACCAAATTTCATAAAACTGGCAAAAGATGCTTATACACCTGATTTTATGGCAGCATCTGACTGTATGCTTGGTAGGTTTGAAACTATGTTGGCGGGAAGCTTATGTTGAATGGATAGAGATTGAAATTTTTTCGGTTCATTTTATTTCAGGAAAAATTGGATATGGCACTGTGAGTGAAGCTCTTTCATACAAGTTACCATTTGTCTTTGTACGCAGAGATTATTTCAATGAAGAACCTTTCTTGAGAAATATGCTTGAGGTACGAACTGTCCACTTTGTTATAATAATTTTTATTTTGTTTGGTTAAACAGTATCATCTTCCTCTCGTACCTCCTTGAAATTTACT